TTTTTTTGTTCCTTCAATTTTACGATGTTTTCATTTTAAAATTTTTCAGTTTTTCGATTTTCCAACTTTTGGGTGTTTCATTTTTAGATTTTGCAACTTTCACGAGTTTTGAATTAATTTTTGATTTTTCAGTTCTTCAGTTTTTCGTTTCGGTTTTTTATTTTTATTAATTTTCCATTTTTCGGTTTCCCAGTGTTCTGACTTAATAATGTTTCCTCTTTTCAGTATGAACTTTTTCAATTTTTTGTTATAAATTGTTCGATTTTCAATTTTCAATAACAATTCTTAAAACTTTTTCATTTGTTCAATTTTTCATTTATTACGATTTTTCATTTTTTCGAACCTTCAGTTTTTCATTTCTTCAATTTTCAGTTTGAAATTGTTCTTGATGTTTGTTATTTTCTTTACGATTACAATTTTTAGAATTTTCAATGTAGCGATTTTATAATTTTTTGTTTTTTCAATTTCAGTTTTTCAATTTTTCGTTTCTTCAATTCTTCGATTTGCAATTTTTCCATTTTTTTTTTTGTTTCCGAGAGGTTTCGTTTTAAAATTTTTTATTTTTTCTATTTTCAAAATTTTTAATGTTTCAATTTTTTAGGTTTTGCATTATTTAAACGTTGCAATTTTTCGATCTGCAATCTCTCGATTCGGTCTTTCATTTTCATTATTTTTTCAATTTTTGGGTTTTTCAGTGTTCTGACTTAATCATTTTTCTTCGTTTCAGTATTAACTTTTTAATTTTTGGGGTTTTCAATGTTTCGTTATAATTTGTTCGATTTTCAATTTACAATAACAATTTTTAAAATTTTTCATTTTTTCAATTTTTCTATTTTCCAAATTTTGAATATTTAATTTTGTTAAATGTGAAATTTTTCCATTTTCATCAATTTCTCGATTTGCAATTTTTCTATTTTTCATTTTTTTGTTCCTTCAATTTTACTATAAGTTTTCATTTTTAAATTTCTCAGTTTTTCGATTTTCCAACTTTTGGGTGTTTCATTTTTAGATTTTGCAATTTTCACGAGTTTTGAATTAATTTTTAATTTTTCAGTTCTTCAGTTTTTCGTTTCGGTTTTTTATTTTCTTTATTTTTCCATTTTTCGGTTTCCCAGTGTTCTGACTTAATAATGTTTCTTCTTTTCAGTATGAACTTTTTCAATTTTTTGTTATAAATTGTTCGATTTTCAATTTTCAATAACAATTCTTAAAACTTTTTCATTTGTTCAATTTTTCATTTATTACGATTTTTCATTTTTTCGAACCTTCAGTTTTTCATTTCTTCAATTTTCAGTTTGAAATTGTTCTTGATGTTTGTTATTTTCTTTACCATTACAATTTTTAGAATTTTCAATGTATCGATTTTATAATTTTTTGTTTTTTCAATTTCAGTTTTTCAATTTTTCGTGTCTTCAATTCTTCGATTTGCAATTTTTTCAATTTTTTTTTTGTTTCCGAGAGTTTTCGTTTTAAAATTTTTACTTATTCTATTTTCCAAATTTTTAATATTTCAATTTTTTAGGTTTTGCATTATTTAAACGTTGCAATTTTTCGATCTGCAATCTCTCGATTCGGTCTTTCATTTTCATTATTTTTTCAATTTTTGTGTTTTTCAGTGTTCTGACTTAATCATTTTTCTTCGTTTCAGTATTAACTTTTTCAATTTTTGGGGTTTTCAATGTTTCGTTATAATTTGTTCGATTTTCAATTTACAATAACAACTTTTAAAATTTTTCATTTTTTCAATTTTTCTATTTTCCAAATTCTGAATATTTAATTTTGTTTAATGTGAAATTTTTCCATTTTCATCAATTTCTCGATTTGCAATTTTTCTATTTTTGATTTTTTTGTTCCTTCAATTTTACGATGTTTTCATTTTAAAATTTTTCAGTTTTTCGATTTTCCAACTTTTGGGTGTTTCATTTTTAGATTTTGCAACTTTCACGAGTTTTGAATTAATTTTTGATTTTTCAGTTCTTCAGTTTTTCGTTTCGGTTTTTTATTTTTATTAATTTTCCATTTTTCGGTTTCCCAGTGTTCTGACTTAATAATGTTTCTTCTTTTCAGTATGAACTTTTTCAATTTTTTGTTATAAATTGTTCGATTTTCAATTTTCAATAACAATTCTTAAAACTTTTTCATTTGTTCAATTTTTCATTTATTACGATTTTTCATTTTTTCGAACCTTCAGTTTTTCATTTCTTGAATTTTCAGTTTGAAATTGTTCTTGATGTTTGTTATTTTCTTTACCATTACAATTTTTAGAATTTTCAATGTATCGATTTTATAATTTTTTGTTTTTTCAATTTCAGTTTTTCAATTTTTCGTCTCTTCAATTCTTCGATTTGCAATTTTTCCATTTTTTTTTTGTTTCCGAGAGGTTTCGTTTTAAAATTTTTTACTCTTTCTATTTTCCAAATTTTTAATGTTTCAATTTTTTAGGTTTTGCATTATTTAAACGTTGCAATTTTTTGATCTGCAATCTCTCGATTCGGTCTTTCATTTTCATTATTTTTTCAATTTTTGGGTTTTTCAGTGTTCTGACTTAATCATTTTTCTTCGTTTCAGTATTAACTTTTTCAATTTTTGTGGTTTTCAATGTTTCGTTATAATTTGTTCGATTTTCAATTTACAATAACAATTTTTAAAATTTTTCATTTTTTCAATTTTTCTATTTTCCAAATTTTGAATATTTAATTTTGTTAAATGTGAAATTTTTCCATTTTCATCAATTTCTCGATTTGCAATTTTTCTATTTTTAATTTTTTTGTTCCTTCAATTTTACTATAAGTTTTCATTTTTAAATTTCTCAGTTTTTCGATTTTCCAACTTTTGGGTGTTTCATTTTTAGATTTTGCAATTTTCACGAGTTTTGAATTAATTTTTAATTTTTCAGTTCTTCAGTTTTTCGTTTCGGTTTTTTATTTTTATTAATTTTCCATTTTTCGGTTTCCCAGTGTTCTGACTTAATAATGTTTCTTCTTTTCAGTATGAACTTTTTCAATTTTTTGTTATAAATTGTTCGATTTTCAATTTGCAATAACAATTCTTAAAACTTTTTCATTTATTCGATTTTTCATTTATTACGATTTTTCATTTTTTCGAACCTTCAGTTTTTCATTTCTTCAATTTTCAGTTTGAAATTGTTCTTGATGTTTGTTATTTACTTTACTATTACAATTTTTAGAATTTTCAATGTATCGATTTTATAATTTTTTGTTTTTTCAATTTCAGTTGTTCAGTTTTTCGTTTCTTCAATTCTTCGATTTGCAATTTTTTCAATTTTTTTTTATTTCCGAGAGTTTTCGTTTTAAATTTTTTTACTTTTTCTATTTTCCAAATTTTTAATATTTCAATTTTTAGGTTTTGCATTATTTAAATGTTGTAATTTTTCGATCTGCAATCTCTCGATTCGGTCTTTCATTTTCATTATTTTTCAATTTTTGGGTTTTTCAGTGTTCTGACTGAATCATTTTTCTTCGTTTCAGTATTAACTTTTTCAATTTTTGGGGTTTTCAATGTTTCGTTATAAATTGTTTGATTTTCAATTTACAATAACAATTTTTAAAATTTTTCATTTTTTCAATTTTTCTATTTTCCAAATTTTGAATATTTAATTTTGTTAAATGTGAAATTTTTCCATTTTCATCAATTTCTCGATTTGCAATTTTTCTATTTTTGATTTTTTTGTTCCTTCAATTTTACGATGTTTTCATTTTAAAATTTTTGAGTTTTTCGATTTTCCAACTTTTGGGTGTTTCATTTTTAGATTTTGCAACTTTCACGAGTTTTGAATTAATTTTTGATTTTTCAGTTCTTCAGTTTTTCGTTTCGGTTTTTTATTTTTATTAATTTTCCATTTTTCTGTTTCCCAGTGTTCTGACTTAATAATGTTTCTTCTTTTCAGTATGAACTTTTTCAATTTTTGGGGTTTTCAATTTTTCGTCATAAATTGTTAGATTTTCAATTTTCAATAACAATTTTTAAAATTTTTCATTTTTTCAATTTAAAACTAGAATATTTCAGTTGTTGGATTTGTTAAAACTTTTTCATTTATACGATTTTTCATTTTTCAATTTTTCGAACCTTCAGTTTTTCATTTCTTCAATTTTCAGTTTGAAATTGTTCTTGATGTTTGTTATTTTCTTTACCATTACAATTTTTAGAATTTTCAATGTATCGATTTTATAATTTTTGTTTTTTCAATTTCAGTTTTTCAATTCTTCGATTTGCAATTTTTTCAATTTTTTTTTGTTTCCGAGAGTTTTCGTTTTAAAATTTTTTCAGTTTTTGGGTTTTTCAGTGTTCTGACTTAATCATTTTTCTTCGTTTCAGTATTAATAACTTTTTCAATTTTTGGGGTTTTCAATGTTTAGTTATAAATTGTTGGATTTTCAATTTACAATAACAATTTTTAAAATGTTTCATTTCTTCCATGTAAGACTTTTTTCCAAAGTTTTCATTTAAAAAATTTCAGTTTTTCTATTTTCCAAATTTTGAATATTTAAATTTGTTAAATGTGAAATTTTTCAATTTTCAACAATTTCTCGATTTGTAATTTTTCGGTTTTTAATCTTAAGATGTTTCAACATTTAGATTAAAATTTTTCATTTCTTCAGTTTTTCGATTTGCATTTTTTCCATTTCCCACTCTTTCGATATTGCAATTTTTCGATTTTTCAACTTTTCGAATAAAAAAAAAAAATGTAAAAATTGCGAAATTGTAAGACTGAAAAATCAAAAATGGAACCAAACAAATCCAGTTTTTTAAAAAAATGTCAAATTTTTATTTAACTCTCCTACTATAGGTACACACTGTAAAAACACCTGACGCAACAAATATTTCGGGGTCATTTCACTGACCACAGCTACGAAGAACTCGTTTTAAAGATTAGCAAATTAGTCATAAACATCATTATCTCTCCGTTAGATAAACCGTGCTTGTAAAAACAAGAACTTTAACTGGTCGTCAGTACAGTCGGTCGAGCAGCCAACACCACAATGTCACTTAAAACACACCTTCTTCTTACTGTTTACTTGTTATTCTTCCTCAACATCACCGCCAAAAGTGCCGAAGTGACATTCAAAAACGTGAGTCTTTTCAAATCACGCGTGTCTCCATTTGCCACTATTCCATCATCAAACACTCTCAAGGAATACCTCCCCAAGGAAAACGTCTTCTCGATCACCGTGGTAGGGGAAATTCCCGTTCTGCGTAAAAACTCAGTCACGGATATCAGCACAGTGAAGATACTCGAGTTCATGGGAAACGGACTGAAAGAAATCGAGCCTGGAGCTCTCGGAAATTTACACCGAATGATAAAACTCAGTTTTAACCACAACAATCTCACTACGATCAACGAAGACGTCTTCGATAACTTGCAAATCCACGATTTGGATCTTGAAGATAACCAAATTGCGACGATTCCATCTGGAGCGTTGAAAAACTTACCACAATTGACGACATTGTATCTGGGGAATAATCAGCTCAGAAGTCTCGACGATGGCGTTTTTGACAGGCTGGACAACCTGGAAAATTTGGTTATTTCGGGAAATTCGATTTCGACGCTCCCGGAAAAATTTTTCAGAAACATGCCCAAGCTAAAGATGGTGTTTTTGGGGAACAATAGTTTAAAAAAAATGCGGAAGGAAATTTTCCAAGATTCTAAAATCGAATATTTGGATTTGTCTTCGAACGACATTGCTTCACTTTCTGATGATTTCTTCCAACATTTGCCACATTTGAGGGGGATCGTTCTGAACCACAATCACATAACTGCGGTTCCAAAGGGGATTTTCAACCACCAGAATTTGGATCAGGTGCAAATTACCCATAACGAAATTTCGTCCATCGACCCTGAAGCCTTCGACGACATGCCGAAACTGGCGAATATTTATTTGGTCAGTAACAAAATCAAGGTGTATAACCCCAACTGGTTCCACAACACCCCCAATATTTTCCGTTTATTTCTTTCCTACAACCAGATGGAAGAATTACCGGATGAAGCTTTCAAGAATATCTACAACCACAAAAAGCAGTGGATCAAACTCGATGGTAACAAAATTAAAAACGTAACACCGAGGACGTTCAAGGGTTTTAAGAACATTCTGAATCTGAACCTGGTCCACAACGAAATTGAAAAATGGGATGAGAATTTTTTGGCGGATGCCGATGTCGTGATCTATCTTAATTTGCAAGATAATAAAATTACGTGTCCTGAAGGAAATTTTGATGAAATTTTTAAAGCAAATTTCACGTATTTGTCGTTCAATCCTTTGACGAAGGAGTGCGTGGGGAAAATTAAGGAGTGGAGAACACAAAATCCAAATAGAGTTGTATCGGCCGAATATGTCTAAAGGTGTAGATTTTGGGTTTTGTACTCATTTTCGTGTTTTTTGGTTTTTTAGTTTCAGTAGTTAATGTATCTTTCTCACGTATGTTTATATGCGATTCTTTTTTTTATTATTTTTGTATACTTTTTAATAAACTGTTGTGACTACTTATGGGAGTTTCTACCTCTATTGCAATTTTAAAGCAAATTTAATTTTTTTTTCAGCTTTTCAACTTTCTAACTTCAGAATTTTTCCAATTTTCGGTTTTATAATTTTTTGTCTTTCCAATTTCCAATTTTTCGATTTTTCGTTTTTAAATTTTTCAATTTTCAATTTTCAATAATTTTAAAAAATGTTCACTTTTTCAATTTTAATATTTTAGAATTTTTCAGTTATTGGAGTTTTCAAACTTTTTCGTTCCTTCACATTTTCAATTTGCCATTTTTCTTCATGTTTTTTATTTTCTTTATGACTGCAATTTTTCGATTTTTCACTACATCGATTTTATAATTTTTTTTCAAATTCAGTTTTTCAATTTTTCGTTTCTTCACTTTTTTGATTTTCAATCTTAACTTTTTCGATATTGCAGTTTTTTGATTTTAGAATTGGATTTCAAAATTTTTTGGACTTTTAATTTTTCAATATTTCAAATCCTCAAATTTTCGATTTGCAGTTTATAATTTTTTCTGTTTTTAATTTTAATTTTTTCAATTTTTCGGCTGCGAAATTTTTCAATTTGTGGGTTTTTCAGTTATTGGGGTTCAGCTTTTGATGTTTTAGTTTATCCTGTTTCAATTTTAGAGTTTTCATTTTCTAGATTTTTAAATTTTTCGTCTCTTCAATGTTGATTGTAATTTTTCTAATTTTCATTTTAAATACCTACAGTTGGAAGATCGAAAAACTGACAAGTTTAAAAGTGAAAACTTGAAGAGTTGCATACATAAATAAAAATCGAAAATTGGAAATCGAGAACTTGAAGAAACGGAAAATTGAAAAATTTGAAATTGCAAAAACCGAAAATTATAAAATCGGAATATCGAAAATTGGAAACATTGGAAAAACAAAAAAATACAAAAAACTGAAAATCGAAAATTTAAAGAAATGAAAAATTGAAGATTCGAAAAATAAAAAAAAATTAAAAATCAAAAAATTGAAAAATTGCACATTGAAAACAAAATTATGAAATCAGAACAGTAAAAAACCGAAAAATTGAAAAATTTCATACCGAAAAAAACAAAAACGATAAAATTAGAATACTGAAAAAGCAAAGAATTAAAAAAAAAAATAAAGAAAAAAACCCAAACGAAAAAGTACAAATCGAAAAAATAAAAATTGATTTAAGTCTCGTGAAATTGCAAATCGAAAATTTGCAAAATCTAGAAATGAAACACATAGAAATTGGAAAATCGAAAAATTGAAAAAATTATAAATGAAAACTTGAAGAGTTGCATGTTGGGAAACTGTAAAAACAAAAAAACAAAAAAAATCGAGAATTGAAGAGACGGAAAATTGAAAAAATTTAAATTGCAAAAACCGAAAATTATAAAATCGGAACAACGAAAATTGGAAACATTGGAAAAACAAAAAAATACAAAACTGAAGAAAAAAGGAAAAATCCATAAATCTAAAAGTTGAAACATCTGAAAGTTGAAAACCGAAAAATTGCAAATCGAATTATTGAAAAATCCAAAAATTGAAAAATGGCACATTTAAAAAAAAAATTGGTCTAAAGAGTTTAGACAGTACTTCCCTCGCTGTCGGAAACTTGACGACTGCATGCCTATTGTGTTTTTTTTCTCATTACATTTTTGTAGTGGGAATTTAAAAAAAAATTGCGATGACGTCATCAACATTTTTGCAAGGACACGTATATCAGTTGGGATAGATGTAGTGTAATACTAAGAATAAAATTATTATATTCTCAAATTTTCGGGAAAATGAATTGGGTCGTTTGAATATTGATTTGTAATAATCAATAAAATAACGAAACAATTTACTCACGTATACCTACGTATCAGAGGCAACTGAAAATCGTGTATGTATAAACATTGTTAATTTAAGATGACAGGCGTAACAGCATACGTGAGAGCCAAACACAGAAACTGTAAACAAAACGACCGTCGGTTTTATTGCTTCGACTTCCGCTTATTATATAAAACATTGGGTTTTATTTTAATTCTTGACGGTGAAATTCACAATTGGTTGATTATAAACATGTCTATTTCACATTCGCGGAATCAAGTGAACGCATAAAACAAATGCAGGTCTGTAATGTTAAAGTCGATGTAAATAAGCGTGCTACCCTATGTTTCAACCGAGTTTTTCCTTTAACAAATTTTGTGTCTACCAAATTGGGTTGGTTGGGGTGTAATACTAATAATAAGTGTTGCCTTTAATTTAATCAATAAAATAAATTGACTTCATTAATTTTTTTGAACCACCTCTTAAGAAAATCTAAAAAATATGAATGGAATGATAAATCACAAGTACAAACTCATCATATTTTTTGCATTTTAGATAGGATTTATTCAGAAAAATTTAAGGGTGACGTCATCAATTTTTTTAGGAGGGATGAACAAATACATTTTGAACAAAAGTTTACCATGCTTATAATAACTTTAAAATATTCCCAAGATTTCAAAGCATTCGGTTTTGTAATTCCTGATTAAATCGATAAAATAAATTCACGCCTTCATTAATTTTTTTGAGTCACCCTGCATATGCAAATCCAAAAATATGAATGGAATGATAAATCACAAGTACAGACTCATCATATTTTGTACATTTTAGATACGATTTATTCGGAAAACTTTTGAGCTGACGTCATCAGTTTTTTGTAGAAGATAACCAAATATATTTTGACTAAAAATTTATTATGCTTTTTATAACCTTAAAACATCTGCAAGATTTCAAAGCATTCGGTTTTGTAGTTCCTGATTAAATCAATAAAATAAATTTACGCATTCATTAATTTTTTTGAGTCACTCTGTATATGCAAATCCAAAAAATATGAATGGAGTGATAAATGACAAGTACAGGCTCATCATTTTTTGTACATTTTAGATATGATTTATTCGGCAAACTTTCGAGCTGACGTCATGAAGTTTTTGGAGGGGATAAGCAAATATATTTTGACTAAACATTTATTATGCTCTTTATGACCTTAAAACATCTGCAAGATTTCAGAGCATTCGGTTTTGTAGTTCCTGATTAAATCAATAAAATATATTTACGCATTCATTAATTTTTTTGAGTCACCCTGTATATGCAAATCCAAAAAATATTAATGGAGTGATAGTTCACAAGTACAGACTCATCATATTTTGTACATTTTAGATATGATTTATTCCACAAACTTTTGAGCTGACGTCATCAAGTTTTTGGAGGGGATAAGCAAATATTTTTTGACTAAAGATTTATGATGCTCTTTATAGCCTTAAAACATCTGCAACATTTCAAAGCATTCTGGTTAGCAGATTAAAAATTAAATTTCAAAATGTTGTTTTATAATTTTGATTTTTTTTCCAAAAATCTGGACGTTTCGGGTGAAAAGTCGATTCAGAGTTGTAAACTACATGTGTAGGACTATGTTATTTTATACAATTGAAAACCCATTTACTATGTACAATTTTGAAGTGACGTCATCGCTTTAGTGGTGGGGATGATTCGACAAATTTTGGTTAGCGTTTTACCATCTACATGATATTCTTAATATAAGTACAAAATTTCACAACAATCGGTCGAGTACTTTCGGAGATTATCTGTCTAATAAAAATCCGTGACAACAGACGGACAGACGGACAGACGGACAGACGGACAGACGGACAGACGGACAGACGGACAGACGGACAGACAGACGGAAATGGGAGACCTATTTCTTCGTCTTCTAGGGGTCATGAAAGATCGAGAAAACGTAAAAGTAGAGAGTCGGCCGACGGACTCGATTACAATACTTCCTTTGCTTACGCTCGGGAAGTAATAATGAATTCAGAATACTAAAAAACCGAAAAATAGAAGACCGAATCGAGAAATTCCAAATCGAAAATTTGAAGAAATGAAAAATTGAAGAATCAAAAAACTGAAAAACTAAAAATCGAAAAATCGAAGAAACGAATACTTGAAACACTGAAATTGAAAAATTGTAATAATAATAAAGAAAATAACAAAGATTGAAAAATGAAAAATCGAATAAGTGAAAAAGTTTTAAAAATCCTGCAACTGACAAATTCTAAAATCTTAAAATTAAGAAAGTGGAAAATTTTTGAAATTATTGAAAATTGAAAGCAGAAAAATTTGAAATGGAAAAATTGAAAAATTTCGTATTGAAAAGAAAAAGAATGATAAAATCAGAAAATCAGAACACTGAAAACCGAAAAATTGAAAAAAAAAGAAAATAAAAAATCGAAACGAAAAATGCAAATCGAAAAACTGGAGAACTGAAAAATTAAAAATTAATTCAAAACTCGTTAAATTGCAAATCGAAAAGTTGCAAAATCTAGAATCGAATCATCCAGAAGTTGGAAATCGAAAAGCTGAAAAATTTGAAAATGAAAACTGGGAAGAGTTGCATATCGTAAAATTGAAGAAACAAAAAAATTAAAAATTGAAAAATTGCAAATTGAGAAATTGAAGAGAAAAGTTCTAAATTCGTCAAATAAATCTAAGATTGAAAAAAGGAAAAATTAAGATTTAAAAGTTGAAACTGAAAAATTGAAAAATTCAAAAATTCAAAAATTTTCACAGTGAAAACAAAAGAAATCATAAAATGAAAACATTGAAAAACCGAACAATTAAAAAAAAACTGAAAACAGAAAACAATTATAAAAACGAATCACTGAAAATCGGATATTTGAAGAAATAAAGAAAATAAAAAAGTTCAAAATTTGAAAAAATGAAAAATTGATAGAATGAAAAATTAAAAAAATATTACATATTTAAATAGAAAACTAGAAACATTGCAAATCTAAAACCTGAACAATTAAAAATTGAAAAATCTAAAAACTGAGAAATTCCAAAGCTGGGTT